AAACGTTGCAAAATATGTTACATTATTTATTAACTCTTTTCAACAACATTCATCGCTTGTTATTAAATCTACGAAATATATAAACTTTTATGCAACAAAATGTGAATGTGGCAAAACGATACGTTAGGAACATTTATTAAAATAGAATAATGTTATTTGTAGTGGACGACCATAGTAGTCGCTTTACGTGACATCCTACTTGTGATTGCTTCATTATTAATATGGAAATCCAATTGATTGTTTCCTTTTTTACTATTTATAAAATCATAACACATAGGATGACATATAGGAAGACTATTGTAGTCACTCACTAAGAATAGCATTATTCATTGAAATATTGTTATCAAATGTCAATTAACCAATAGAGACATACATTAAGTGACTTCTGATAAATCATTTTTAGAAACAGGCCATATATGAATGTTGTTGTTTACAAGTTGCAGAGAAGACTATTTTTCTTGCAGTGATGCATAGGTACTTGTCTTTGGATCTAAAAAATTAGTATTGAGAATTATCATGAGAAGAGAAAAACTTATATATTATCTTTAGTTCTATCCAAACAGACTTTTATAGCAGTTAGAGATTATACCATTTCATGCATGTAAAGGGACGAATTCTTGCTCTGTGAATGATGAACGAGATTCACAAATTATCACTTTAAATGGTTATCTAGTATTTAATGCAGTTTTTGTGATTGAAAATATCAGCCACCACTGTTGTATTTTGACTTGGTACTAAGGAATGACGAAGACTAGTTGAAATAATAGAGAACTCGTTTTGGAATGGTGATATACATATGGGTTTTATATATTTGTTCATATATAAACCGTTCTAATTACATAATTAGGAAGAAATAGTGGGCGGGAAAAAATATATTCTCAAGCGAACGCCGCCTCTTGTTTTGGAGAGATCTTGTGGAATCATTTTGAGAATTTGACTATAGCGCTCGTACCTTCCTAAAATATTGTCGTTTCATGTTTGAGTAAGCATGATAGAAAAAGGCTCTTTCCCATCCAACATTAGCAAGTATATGCCTGCATAGGTAGTTTCCTCATAGCCTAGTGCTCTCTCTCTCTCTCTCTCTCTCTCTCTCTCGTTTCCATTAAAGGTGGAGTCAGGAAGACAACAATTTTTCCCCCAGTAGGCTAATACATAGAACAAATGATCGCGCCTACGACTATGAAGATCCCTAAACTTTTGAGAATATGCAACAGAGGTTCAAATAGATGGAAATAACCCATTTGATCGTTAGTTGACCAAAAAAATTGATTTTGACCAAATTAAAATGGGTAAAATGATAACTTTGTTATTTACATTATTAAATAAACAAACAAAAAAAATCAAAATAATTTGAAAATTAAATAAATAAATGTTATCTTCTTCCCAACCCGACACCCCCACCGCTTGCCAATTTCAACACCACCACCAGCAAACAAAAATCAAGCAAAACGATTATCCAAGCAAAAAATGGTTAGTGAAATCTCCCAATGCCGACTCATCTTCCGACCACTGTAATCCAGCAAAATTGGACCACAATAAAATCTGACTATTGTAAAACCAAATGGTGCAACCCAGGCAGACCTTCAATTTTGGTAACCCAACAGCTTTTTAGCCCCAAATTTTGATAACTCACCAGTTACAATGTCGAGAGGAAAAAAAACCAACATTTCTTCCCGTTCTTTATTTTGCTTGGAACATGACATCCATTCCCAAAATAGCTTGAGGTATGTACTCATGTTGAACTCATGAAGAACCAATGAGATTTGATCCAAAGAAGCCTCCGTTTCAACTAAAAAAGAAACATTCAAACCTCAATTTTGTGGGTCCAAGAAGGGGTAAATGAGTTGGGTTTGATTTTTTTTTTTTTTTGGGATGAAGGTTGGGATAAGGTTGGAAAAGCAGATTAAACGGGTGGGGAAGGCCATCGAAAGCGGCGGTAGCGGCGAAAGTGGCAAGTTGTGGTAGCAAGAGGCTTTATTTGGTAACAGTTGTGTTCTGTTCTTTTATTTTGTTTTAATTACTTTAAGAGACAAATATGGATAAATCGCAAAGTTACCGTTTTACACATTTTAAATTTGGTCAAAATCAATTTCTTTAGTCAACTAACAGTCAAATGGATCCATCTGGACCTCTACTGCATATTTTTGAAAGGTTAGGGACATTCGTTGACACAAATTGATGGTATGGATAAAGTATACAAAAATTGAAAATGTTAGGGACCGCTTGTGCAATTTTTCCTTCTTTTTGTGTCTGTATGGCAAAACTTAGGGTCTGTTATGTTTATGTTTCGGTTTTCAGTTTTTAATTTTTTGTTTTGAATTCATTTTCTAATTTCCGTTTTGAGTATCTGTTTAAAATGTTTAAAAATGTATTTGATTTGTCAATTTAAAAAATTATTTCTTAAAACCAAAAATTAGAAAATATGTTTGATTTGAAATTTTTGAAAATTCTTTTATGATATTTTATTTAATTGCATTTGATTATCCAGTAAAAATAGAATAAGTTTATATTCATATATTATCAATTATTATATACATTTAAAGTTGCTGAAATTTATAATATTTTATCTCACTAAAAAATAAAATAAAAAATAAATATTAATTTTAAAGTGTAAGAAGTAAATATAAAAAACTAATGACGTACACTTAAAATATTTTTGTCCGTGTTCATTTAAATATTTTTTAAAAGTTTTATGTAAATAATCATTAGTTAGAACTATTTTATTTTATTTTATTTTTACTTTTCTAGAATTTATAATTTTATTTTTTATATTTTATTTTTTGTAAAATTCTAAAACTTACAAAAACTAAAATTTTATTTAGCTTTATTTCCATGTTTTGAAAAAAAATAATTATCTCATTTGCCACTCTTAATTCAAAAGGGTACGAGTTCATTGGAGGTGGAGGTTTCAAGGTTTTGCAAAGGTGTTCGGGTTGTATTGGAGGAGCAGAAAAATTCCGAATAATATGTCTTGTGAGGTTGTTGAATCTTATAACATTCTTTGTCGCTAAAAATAAAAATAAAAAATTATAAAATAAATTTTAATATAGGAAATAAATATAAAAATTTAATGACGTAGACTTAAAATATTTCTTTAAATTTTTATGTAAATAATCATTAGTTAGAACTATGTTTTTGTTTTTTTACTTTTCTAGATTTGATTGTCTGTGTGCAGATCATGACTTAGAAGAGAAATCATTTACCACTGATGTAGAACATAGCTGTAACTTTTATTTATCTTATGTTACAGTCATGTGAAAAATATGATAAAATTATTTCACTATATTATAAAGTAGGCATACTTATAGACCCCAACATAGTTTGGAAGATTGTGAATGATCTGTGTGAAGAGATTTTTAAAACTTTTTTATGATACCATAAACGCCTGATGCAGTGTCTATTTCCCTGCATATATATTCACTTTTCTACAACACTTTTTCTATATTACACAAACATTTCATAAATATAAGAATTTATCAATTTTTGTTGATGTAACCCTTGTTCGATTCCCATTATTTTCAAAATACATTTTTTTCTCTTCTTTTCAACCACATATTCTTCACTAAAATAATATTTCAAGCAAACACAAAACTTTTCTTCATTTTTTAACCACACATTCTCTATCAAATCACTATTCCATGTTTGTTAATTTTATGAAATTAAAAAATTGAGGGTATTGTATTTTTTATTATTTGATAATAGATTATTTTACTCATGGCATGGGGGGCCATTGATGTTTTTCTTAAAGGTTTAAAACATCATAACTGATGTTCACACTCGTTAATTTGTGCAATTAAATAAATCACGTAGAATGCTAAAATCTGTCTACCCTCTGCAATCAGAACTGCTTTAATAATTGCTTGTAGAATATTTTGATTTCCCGGTGCTGTCTGAACTGTTTAATTAAGGCAGAATTTTTAGTTACCTAAGTATTTTCAGATTCTTGTCCATATTTCTTTGTATTTATTGATCCATTACAAGATACAATTTTATAATCTTATTAAAATGCTGCAGAACTATTAGGCTTTTCAAAAGGAAAAATAAGTGAACAATTAGTTAATTAACTATCTCACGAGGTTAATTATTTGAATCTCGATAAGCCATGGGTTGAAACTCGGGTACAGACTTTTGCTTCCTTCCGAGTCTCTCTTTTTTCTACTTCAACCAAGTTTTTAGTCACTGCATTCAAAGCTTTCACAAGAAATTCAGACCAGTCCCTGCAATAGTAATGTATTCGATTGAACAACGTTAAATTCAGATTTTGGTCCCAAAATATGCATAAAAAATAGCAATGATACTAACATATGTATATATATGTTCTACATAAAGGTGTAAAATTAGATAGGATCGCCCAACACATTTAGCCATGGCCGAGGCAAAAGAGTCTTGTCAAATGGACTAACTCATACGTAAAGGTATGCAGTGTGCCGCACTGGGCATGAAAGTCTAAAAAAAGATATTAACAAAAAGGATAATAATATTAAAATGAAAAGTAAAACTTTTTCAGTAATCTTATAAAAAAATCTTGGTGTGAGCTGGGCTTCACTGGCTTCCACCTCTGGTCGCACTAGGTAAATATACAATCTTGCTAAATGTGCACTAACTTTGACATTATGGGTGATATTTTTGTGAGTTGGCAATTTATTATACATTAATTTTGAAAACACTATAAATAATTAATGATACAGATTCTCACATCTTACATAATGTCAACAACAATGTTATTTAGGATAGTACAGGGGTGGAGGGGAGGGGGGTCCGCGGGGGGGGGGGGGGGGGGGGGGGGNGTTCAGTGATGGAGAAATATTTCAAAAGATTAGTAGTTTCTTTTATATGTTTTTTGATTTTTTTGTGAAGTCTTCGTACATTAATTTATATTTATTTGTTTCATTTCTCCATCACAAAGTACCAACTTTTTTCATTTTAACAGATAATATTAAAAAAAAAAATTTCGGGGGGCAGCTCCCGTGAGCCCCCGCTCCTTCAACTCCGGGACCCCCCTAATTTGAAGTGCTGGCTCCGCCCCTGGAATAGTACATCTAATTAATTTGTAAATATATATATAAATGCAGATAAGATTTGTCTGAGTGTAATACGAACTTGGCCAAAGCCATTTGTACCCCCGCGTTTACATGCCCGGGTACACGACCCCACCGCCCCCCTCACAATGAGGGGGGCCCGAGGTGAATAAAATAATGGGGCGGGCCCTCCCATTGTGTGTGGGGGGCGTGGAGCCGGGTACACGGGTGTGTAGACGTCCGTGTACGAATAGCATGGTTCTACGAACTTACCCTGTCAGTGTATCAAATGTCAGTCCAACTGTGTATTTTGCCTCGTCAAGAGCCATTTGAAACCTGTCCAAATCCTTAATCGGACGAGTCCCATCAACTTTAACCCTAAGTTCAGAAGGTTTCACATCACAAAAAATAGGTATCACCTTCTTTTGGCCCTCCATCATAAGAGCCAATTCGTGCAAACAAAAGTAAGAATCACAGTATCGTGGAGAAAACACAGCAATCCCAATTTTGCATTGACTGATTGCCATGTCAATTTTTTCGAAAATTTTGTCCCCCGGCTTCATGTTCATGCTGTCCAAGAATGGCCGGAGGTGGAGCTGCCGGCTGAGGTGATTATACAGCAGCCCGGCGACACTCCTTTTTGTGTCAATTCTGCGGTGGCTGATGAAAACGTCGTAAGGCCGCATATTATTATTTCTTTGTATTTTTCTTCTGTTTCGAAGAATTTGGCTGCAAATGCTGTTTCTAGCTGTTGATTAACGTTGCATGGCAATTTATATAATGTTAGAATTTCCTTGTTATATGCTTTTGAATTCAAATTTTTTTTTTCCCTTTGTCACAGGATCATGATAATTACGTTTTACATTATGAAAATAACATTTATGATAAGAAATTCCTTAATTTTCTGAAGTTTGAAGTGTCTACATTTCATACAAATAGGAATTCAAGTTTTTTTTTTTCTCTGTCACAGGATCATGATAATTACGTTTTTACATTATGAAAATAACATTTATGGTAAGAAATCCCTTAATTTTCTGAAGTTTGAAGGGTCTACATTTCATACAAATCAGAATGTTGACTCCCTTCAAACACGCTAATTAGAGCTTTTAACTTTTTCTGTAAATACTAAATATTATATGCATGCTCAATTGCACGAAGATTTTTTTTGAAAACGCACAATTTCACGAAGATTTTTTTTGGAATATATTCAAAGTAATCGAAAAGTAAACCACACGTATAAAAGCAAAACTTTTTGTATCTAGATGACACAAAATTTTCTGATTTGATTTTTCAATCAAGTGTTCATATGATGTTATAAAATATCATAGGAAAACGGTTGCAGCATATTAAGTAAATATCATACAAAAAATCTAGTCCAAACTGATTTTTGATTCAACAATGTAAGGTATGTTTACCCTATAAATTTATAATGTAAGAATGAACTGAGAAAATGGCTCGAATAATTTTCAAACTTGATGTGCTACATCATGGAAGTAATCAATGTACATACTTTAGGAAATTAGTAAAGTTATTAACTGACAACTCAAATCACTTAATAGTCTAACCCAAGAAATTAATATTCTGCGACAGAATTGGAGTTTTGACAAGTTCAAACCCTTGTGAGCTGCCGGACACTTCATCTATGGTTTACTCGTACATGTAGCGATTAGACACAACTCTTTGGTGGAGAATATTCTTTTTGACACCTGTAGAAACAGAAGAGCGGGTAAAAAACCCAGTTAGTACAAAAATAATGCAGTTTCGTTCGTGAAATCGTTTTGTTAAACATCAAATTTTAAATAGAAATGTGAGATCTATGTCTTATTTAATCTGCGTAACGATTTTTGTTAGTCACGTGTCAAACCATTAATTGTTATTATACAGGCAGCCGGTATGGTTAAACACAATGGAAGTTGAGTTGAGTATTATGAAACAATCTGAAGTCCAATTGCTAACCTGAATCTAGATATGTTTGGGTGACATTCAATTAAATTCGGGATAACTAGGCTAGATACCTCTTTTTCTTTCCCCCGTTTAGGAAGAATATTTAAATAATTAATTTATTAAGTAAATGGTAATGAATGTTGGATAATACCTGTGAGTCCATTGAAATTATTAGAATTTGGGTGTGACACGAATTCCTTCTTCAAGTAATTAAAAATTCTAATTGAAGAGCACATCAAGAAGAATTCAGTTTGGAATGCTATTGGAGTCCTATGTTAAGTTGAAGTTTTATTTTGGAAGCCCATTGTAATTTATTTTGGACTAGATTTTTTGGATTCTACTTCTTCAATAATTCTTCTAGGAGAGTTTGGACATCCTCTACATGTTTTCTATAAATACTAGGTTCTTCTATACAATTTTATAGTGTGAAAAAATAGATTACTAGAATTATAGGATATATTGTAATTTTTATCTATTCTCCATTATTTTTGAGTCAATAAAATTTCTTAATTCCTCTACCATATTCTTGTCTTTATTATCCTTTTGTTTGATCATATACTTCATTATTATTTGGCACATAACTTCAACATCTCAATCCGATAGTTTGTTTCAATACAATTGGTAGAAGAGCTATTATGGTATTTTGTTTGTTTAACAACATAAGTATATGGCTGAAAATGAAGTTTGATTATTTATAAATTTTGCAAAGGGAAAAATACATAACTACAAAGGTTTCAAAATATAATTTCAAAAATAATAACCTTGAGGAAAAATTTCAAAAATAAGGTAGTCACATTTTGTGATCTCTGATAATAACACATAATTTATGATCATAGTCATATATTAATCATAAATCACACAAGATTACCGTCATAAATATACACCTTGTAGGTCACAATTACTATATTAGTTGCAAACTTTTTTATAGGTCATAAATTATATATCGATCACAAACTATCATATCAACTTGTCACAATCAGTTATTCTGTCACAAATCACACATTTAACATGTCACAAATTACTGAATTAACTAGTCACAGAACTAATTCACACCATCTCATCTCACCTCACCCCACCATTCCCCCATCGTCGACACCACCCAAATCACCGCCACCTTCACCTCAAATCGAAAACCACCGCCTCCACTTCACTTTACCCTACCCCACTCCACCACCATCCAACATGATAAGGTTAGGGTTCCATTAGAATCAACGATCTTGGCCTTCTCAATCTTTAATTTCTTCTTGAGGGTATCAGTTTGATTATTGCACTGATCATCGATGCGATGTGTCTTCTTAGCATGACCACAACAAGCGTTAACCATATCAACGACCTCTTGCCAGTCATTCTTATGGAGATTCCCATGATTCATCTCCAAGTAATGATGGCCCCAATCCCTCATGATAGCATCATTACATGAAGCATAAACTAGAGCCAGATAGACGGGATGCGCTAGTTTGGGATCCTCAACTCTAACGTGAAGGAACTGGGGATAATCCTCAACAACAATAACAATGGTCTCCGCATTCCAAAAAATACGATCTAGATCGTCTCATTCCGAACTCCGGTGTAAAAGTGCAAATATCTTCAAATATAATCGAACATATGCCGAAGTATAAAAGGTTCCAGTATAACCAAAATATAAACCTAATGAAGCTGCATAAGTCTCGACAGGCGCCAACATAGCTTTCGCTTGAATGGCTTGTTTCACGCAGCGTCAAGTGGTATCAGAGACGATTTTTCCGTCTCTATATCTTTGATTCACAATCAGATTTGGACGCTTAAAATTAACGAAATGACTAGCTTACTGTTCAAATCAAAGAGACTCATCAACTGTTGCTGTAAGGTGTTGGAAATAATGGGCAAAATGAACTACAGAAAATCAACAATGAGTAGATAGCTAAGCCTGTAGTTCGAAGAGGAAATAATATGAGACTTGCATTAAAAGAAAGTGAATCAGAGGAGGAGGAGGAGTTCGAAGCGCTGCTACATAACCATAAGCATCAAAATCGAAATACCTTTAATGATTATCGGATCAAAGAAGACATTCTTCCGCTCTTTGGTAACATGAAGATTGAGGACTTCCTGGATTGGTTGGCAGAGGTTGAAAGATTTTTCGAAATTATGGATGTTTCAAAGGACAAGATGGTAAAGATGGTGGCATTCCATTTAAAATCCGTAGCGACCATATGGTGGGATCCATTACAGAATACTCGAATGAGATAGAGAAAGAGTCGGATTCGAACTTGGAGAAAGATGAACCAGTCTTTGATTGGACAATTTATACCTGTAGATTATGAACATATTTTGTATCATATATACCTAGGATGTAGGCAGGACAGTTATACAATATCGAACTACACCAATGAATTTATGCAATTGGCATAGCAAAACAATCTATCAAAATTCGAAAATCAAGGGTAGCTATGTATATCGATGGTTTGAAGGTGGCCAAAGATAGAATTGGGTTGCAGATTATTTGGACGTTGTACGAAGTCATTAACTTGGTGACAAAAGCTGAGATGATGTAATCTGATAAGAGGGCGACCCCTTATAGGAGAGTTTCGCCACCTATCGAACCATCATTATCTATTCCTTTAGACAAATGGAAGGACCCATTATAAACCCTAACTAACTCCAACAGGAGCAATGTTGACAACATGGGTTGGTTTGTAATTAGAGGTCAAACCTGAAGCACACCTCAGAATGTAAATTCGTATGCTAGGCTACGAGAGATACTTTTTATAGATGCCACAAGCCTAGGTATCGTTCCAATAATTGTCCGGAAAGAAATCAGTTCAATTTAGTGGAGTCGGAGACAATGGACGAGGAAGAAGATATTGAGATGAAAGATGAGTATGTGTAGTTGAGTTTGATGTTGAGGAAGGTGTGGAGAGGCTTATTTTAGTGCCACAACGAATCTTTTTGTCGCCTAAGTACGAGGAACAACATCACTGCATCTTTCAGTCGCTTTATTCTATCAAGAATAAGGCGTGTGAAGTAATTGTGGACAACTGAAACTGTGAGAATTTTGTGTCGAAAATGTTGGTGAATTTGTTGAAATTACCAACAAAGTGGCATTGTAAAACTTATTCCCTTGGTTGGGCAAAGAGAGGTCATTTTATCTAGGTTACTAAAACTTGAAAAATACATGTTTCAATTGGTATTATAAGGATGAAATTGTGTGTGATGTCATAGGCATGGATGCTTGCTATATCTTATTAGGTTATCCATGGCAGATTGATGCGGACTCAACTATCAAGGGACATGATAATGCAATACTCGTTTCATATGATAGTCATAAGATCACTATGGTTCCTATCAAGTAGTTAGAGATGTCTACCCAACAACGAACCAAGAGTTTCCTTACCCTTACAAATATTGAGAATGAGATTGTAGATTCTGTAAGAGAGTCTAATTGCTTTTATCCATTGGTTACTAAAAGGCTTTTTTACCTTAAATAAGAAAGATGAGTCTTCCATCTGAGGTGTAACAAATATTGACATAATTTGAAGATTTGGTTTTTGATGGATTGCCAAATGAGTTACCTCCTATGATGAATATTCAGCACCAGATAGATTTAGTACTTGGGGCTAGCCTTCCAAATTTGCCTCATTACCGGATGAGTCCAAAGAAGAATGAGATTCTGATAGAGCAAATTGAGGACTCGTTGAAGAAATGATTCATAAAGGTGAGTGCGAGTCTATATCCAGTACCGTCCTCTTAGTATCAAAGAAGGATT